GACTGCGTGTTGACGAAATTTTGCAATTCTACACATTTTGGCAACGTCGATAAGTTGCAAGATTCATGCAATTCAATTGCTGTAAGTTGCGGCTTTTCTCCCGATCTGATCGCCGAAAATCGGCACTTATCGACCAAATGTTGACTGAGAGTTGCAACTTAGTTGCGACTTTTAACAAATATTGTTTCAACTTCTTGCAACTTTAACTTAGAAAAATGCTACTTGGGTACTTTAGTGGCTCTATACGTATTTTTGTCTCTCTCTCTCTTTCTGTTTTTAATGTAATGTACTTACTGAACACCTTTTATAAATTGTATTTGCTAACATGTAAAACATGTTATAGGTGTAATTTTCTTCTTTCTTTTGAAATCTTTGGGCAAGCAGTGCTTGCCTTGCTTATCCGGACCGCACGCCACTGATGCACCGTTTTCGCAAAAAACCGCAGAGAAGATTCAATTATTCGGCGATAAAAAGCCAGAAAGATTCCTCATTTCAGTACTCGATTGACAAGCGGCTGTGTGTCAACAAGGAAATCAGGGGAACTCTAACGGACGCATCGAGAGCAGGAGGAGGGGGATAGCCCTAGAGTCGGCAGATACAGATAAGAAGACGGACACGCGCTACGTTTTTTCCGTATTTACATCGGGCCTGCGTTCTCAAATGCTTTGTTCTTTTTTATTCATTGTCGCCAAATAATTGAATCTCGTCGGCGGTTCTTTGCGAAAACGGTGCATCGTAGAAAGTTGGGGCAATTACAACTTATGATCAGCATCTTGAGGAGAATCGAATGACATAAATATATTAACGTTCTTTCATGGTGCAGCTTCTCATAAGAGGTGTGCGGGGTCCTTTAACGAAATTCGGACAGGTATCACTCTTGGAGGCTTCATTTTGACAAGCAATGGTTTTTTCATACTTTGTAGAGATACCGCAGACCAAAATCAGTGGTCGAATTGAAAAAAAAAATAAAAATTCAATCTCCCCCAAAAAACAAAAATTTTGAATTTGCAGGAAATCCTGACGTGATGAAATTTTTTGGATATTTTTCCCAAATTCAGCGCTAAAAAATTACATGAGAGTCAATCAAGACATGCCATGCAACATGGCATGACCAAAAAACGCCAAAAATGAAAAATTGGCAACGCTGTACAGCCTAAACGAGGTGTACTTTATGGTTGAAGTTTTGCCTTATACGCTTCCATTTGAGATTCGTCCGGTTGACCAACTTGGGTATTCAAAAAAAGGGCGAAACTTGGCCGAGGCTTTTTCTTTCATAATATCGGGAAGTGTTGTACATTTTTGAATTTGTTATGACTTCGGGGAATACAATTTGCCAAAATTCGCGGAAATAATGATTGATTTAAATTAATAAATCCTGAAAATCACTCGCAGCCTGCGGTTCTCCAATAAGCCACCATGTTGAAATGCCAGACCGGTCCCAAATGGTTCTTCCTTTCCGACGAACAAGGGGCTCGGAATGGCCCATTCATGGATTGACTTTATCGGCGCTCCATTACATTGCAACTCCATTGTACCCTAAGTTACGTACCTATCGATTTTGGACATGACGGCCATTTTGAATATGTTGCCCTAGGATTAGGACATTTCGATTGCTGGGAAAAGGTGTCTCAGGGACCTTAAAAGATACTCTGAAAGTTTCGGTGAGGCGGGCGAAAATGACTTCCTGGCCCCTAGACTACCTTAGAGTCCCTTTATACTGAGAGTCAAGACAATGCGAATCCATTTCTGATTGGTTAACCGGATTTTAGGCCTTCACAGTGTCACAAACGGGAATAAAGATTACATTTTCACCAATTGCAAAGATTATAATCTGGAATGGACCGAGGAATTTCGGGTTCGACAAGGAACAAACGGAATGAGAGAAGGAACGGAGAAAGGAATTTAAGAATGAGCCGATCAAAGATTACGAAAAACGTTCCATTTGTGTAATCTTTATTCCCGTTTGTGACTCCATGAGGGGTGTTGTCTTGACTCTCAGTTAGAGTACCTGTATAGGGAGAGTAGCGACAGATCGGTTCATGGAGGGCTTAGGGCCCAAAAGTGCAGCCACCCTTCTGAGCAACTTCTACGCACAAAATTTCACTGCCAGCCTACAGATTTCAATTCTAACCAAGATGGCTAAGAATGTACATAAATGAGCGTTCTTTCGCAAAAATAAGTAAATTTATGCAAAAAGTAAACCAAATACATGCTTTCTAAACGACGGTTCGTAACAATTGTATTTGTAAATCGCTCTGGACATTCGAAATTCATAGGTTGGCTGCCCTCTTGGGCCCTAACTTTATTCGCGGAGGCATCGGTGAAGGCCTGATGGACTTTCGGAGTTTCAGATCTGTCGCTACTCTCCCTATACAGGTACTCTACTCTCAGTATAAAGGGACTCTAGACTACCTATACTCAAGAATGGGCCTGTTGCAAACTTTTGCTAGAGCAAAAATAAGAGTTGTTTCTTATAGATAATGCCTCAAAAATCACGATGAGCGCATCGGCAAAGTCTGAAATGCACTCATAACTTCACAGTCTGCGTAAGAAATTTGCGGTTTTTTGAGCTTCCCGCTTCAAAAACGATACTACGACACAGGTGAACATTTTGTAAGAGGAGTCGCTCCATCCCTGGTAAAAAAGACGACTACGCTGCGACTATGCTGCGAATACATAGCATAGCCGTGTGCATATGTAAGAAGTCGCAGTGTAGTCACATGGTTGTCAAGGGTAGTCATCANGTGACATTGGCATCATCATGTTTAGTAAAAATGGACTTCTTAAAGGTTTTTCAAGACTTGCAGGAAGGGTCGATGAGAAAAAGAGGCGACATGGCCGAAGGAGAGGCCGCGTAAGAAGACGGCGTGCGGGCGCGGTCCGGTAATAATGGGCGCAGCCTCGTGAGCGTCGGAGTTGGAGCGGTTGAGGAGCCAAGGTATGGGTGGCGGGGCAGCGGAGAGGGGTCGGAGAGGACTGGAAGGGAAGGGCACGAGCGGCGCCGCACACTGGTATGGCTTCCGGCGGGAGCGCGCGAAACCTCCGTTTACGCACATAAAACAGCGAATATCTCGAAAACCGCACATGGGATCTCTTTGGGCCCATTAGAGCTTTTGATCAGAATGACGAGCTGAGCAACATATCCAAGCGGCATCGCGTTTGACTGGGGGGGATTTCCCATAAGGAAGGTGCGGGGTTCTTTCTTACGCAGATTGTGAAGTTATGAGTGCATTTCAGACTTTGCCGATGCGCTCATCGTGATTTTTGAGGCATTATCTACAAGAAACAACTCTTATTTTTGCTCTAGCAAAAGTTTGCAACAGGCCCATTGTCCAAGGTGGATTCATTGTAATTGATCCCGTAAGAAACATCATTCCACCAAGCCTCTACGTCAATTTTCCGCTTCGATATTCCATGGCTTCCCCACCTTCAGGGGTCAGAGTGCTTCCAACACGAATAGGCAGGGCGATTTTCCATTTTGACTAGAAAAGAGTACTAAGGACCGTGCACACTCCTATTAGGAATGTGCGAATGTGTGCCCTATTCGATTTTTTATTTTAAAGTTTCATTAATTACTTGAATAAATGAAGGCAGCGACGCAATTTAACAAGGAAAACTCCAGCTGGTGAGTGGTATGGAAGAGAGTGGGAGAAGAAGGAAAGGAACTGATTTGGACCGTTGAACCAGGTGAAACAAAAATGCTTGCGGAATCCGAGGTAAGATTACCGCTCAGCATTGTAGTGGTAGCTAAACAAGCTGAAATTTTCCTGTTTTTACCTTGTTATCAGCTGGTGCTGAGAGATAGAGAGATCTTCTTGACTCATAATTGCAGCGCTGTCTTCATTTATTCAATTGATCATTGAAATTTAAAACCCCTACTGTGCGAAAACGGCGCCTTGTAGGAAGTTGGCGCGATGAAGACTTTTGGGCAGCATCCACAGACGAGTTAACAGTACAAAAATTGAAAATCGAACAGAGCACAGATTCCCATAAGGAGTAAGCAGGGTCCTTTCCTGAAAATGTTGCTTCCGTGGATTAAGGTCCTTGTTCTTGTGGATAGTTACATTTAATGTAATGCATGCTTTACATGTCTACAGCAAAACAACCAATCTCGTTTGAGGTGTTTTAAAATCTTCCCTCACATTTAATTTGTAGAAAGGCGAAAAAATCAACATCATTCCTGGAAATTTTAACAAAATTTTCTTGGGGCAGAGAGGAAAAATCACGGAAGTTCTTGAGGATTACCCTTAAGGAGTTTTCCATGTAAAAAATCAAGCATGACAGGAAGTCTCTAAAGTGGGAAACTGAGATAAAGGGGTCTGAGAGTCTCACTGTTGATAAATGATTTAAGGTGATTCGATGGATGCCATATTTTGTGTCAGAACGGCATGCGATATATCGCATCAATTGGTTCCATTTTTTCAGCTACTCGTCATTTTTCTCCAATTTTGAGATCGCAATTCTGTTGTCAGGAGACTTAAGCACTCACTTACCAATTTTAACAAAGAAATTCAAGGTAATAAAGGCGTGGTTTTTTTAGAGAGAAAATATCGCATTCGAGTGCAGTTTCGATATCAGTATCGAATGGGAAATTTTCTCTCTAAAAAAACCACGCCTTTAGTACGTTGAATTTCTTTGTTAAAATTGGTAAGTGAGTGCTTTAGTCTCCTGACAAAAGAATTGCAATCTCAAAATTGGAGAAAAATGACGAGTAGCTGAAAAAATGGAACCAATTGATGCGATACATCGCATGCCGTTTTGACACAAAATATGGCGTCCATCGAATCACCTTAAATGCAAAAAACCATGTGTCTCATTAGTGAAATCTTGGGGGGGGGGGCATGGGACTAGAGATTTCGATTCATTTTAGCCATTTGCCTATTCAGAAAAACAACTTTTCCTCCGGTTCAATGTTAGTTTACTCCTTCTTTTGACACGCTGTTTTTAGAGTTTCAGGTTGCCTATCAGGAGTAAGGTATTTGCAAATGATTGACAACGGCTGCTTTGAGAACATTATTTTAATTTCAAGGAAGTAAAACAAGGTTGAGAATCTTTCTCATTGCCAACTCGAGTGACCATTGAACTAAAGTAATTAATGGTGGTTCAGAAGGTTGCAAACAGCTAATCTCCATTGAAACCTGAAAATTTAAACTCCTGTAAACTCACAAAAAAAATGTTCAGTAACGCCTAAAGAGGTTAACAACAACTAAATACAGTTCCTAACATTTAATATTTCTTATCCCAGTGGTTCTCTTCATCGATCTCCTTGACTACATCATGGATAGCTTTCCACAGATACCTGTTCTTCTGATCCTGAAAGCATACAAATTAATAAAATATTTAATTAATTGTTATTAATTTATTTATGAATTAAATTATGATTTCGCAATTACTTGATAATCTTTCAGTATGGCGAGAAATAGTATTTTACAAGGCTAGTTTGTTTCAAATGAAAATGTCTTAATTTTACAAAAGCAACTAGCTTAAATAATTGATTAGTGGCCCAGGTTTGTTGGTGAGTAGGATAGATGTATAAATAAAGGGTCACGTTTTTTCAATAGTACAGTAATCAGCTGTAAATATAATTATTCTCGGATTAGAGCGTGCGATCATTCTATGAAGTTGGAAGTTATTGCTTTGACATATTTTTCAGATTTCCCAACTTAATATTTGTTAGTAAGAATTCGTGAAATTTTTTAAAAATGCCTCTTGGATCCACACTCTGGAGGAGTAGGTTATGTTGAACATTTTTTAAAAATGTATTTCTGAAGCTTCTTTTGGAACAAAGTTTATTAAAAACATAGGACTTGGCTCCATGGGACTGGGCTTTTGTGTTCCTGCGACAAGTATGCACAGAAATATAAATTATCTAAAACTGATTATTTGACCAGCATTAAGACAATAATTGAACTTCACTGACAATTCAACAAATTATTTAAATTAAAAAAAACGCTAACAATCGAGTGTACCATAACAAAATAACAAACCATTAGCTTTCACTTCTTTCTCTCGCAATCAATGGTCTTAGGTCTATGTATATAAGAAGTACTCGGACCATTCTTAGTAGTGTGATTAATATTGAGTGAGGTAAAGGAGGGGTATCAATAAGGGCCTTTTTTGGCCCCCTCCTAGAATCTGGAAATTTATGCGGGTTTTCCAAGTTGACTCAATGTAGTTTACGGAAATAATCATGATTTAGCCCATAGGCTACTGGATACGTGTTGAACGGTTGCCTAAACATAGGTCTGCAGGCGTATTTTGGCGAAAATCGTGTTTTTCTATCACTCCGAGGCTTTTTTGACACCAAGCGTATCGTCTAACTAAAACGAGCTTTTGATATGTTATCAAGGAGACTTTAGGACACATTTTTACTCTGGTTTGGTTTTAGTTAGAAGATGCGCTCATAGTAAAAAAGAAACTTTTTCAAAAGTCGACGTTTAAGGGATATCCACAAAAATCTTAGGGGAATTACGTCTTTAGGTTTTTTTTGGGCTACAATTGAAGAAAATCTCCTTGTAAGGGTTTAATAAGGCTTGATAACTGCCCTCGAGAATATACATAGCGTGCATACAGTTGGAGAGACGTGTTCCCTATGATTTTTGCTGGTGTCCCTTAAACGTCGACTTTTGAAAAAGTTTTTTTTTTAGTATGAGCGCATCTTCTAACTAAAACCAAACCAGAGTGAAAATGTGTCCTAAAGTCTCCTTGATAACATATCAAAAGCTCGTTTTAGTTAGACGATGCGCTCGGTGCCAAAAAAGCCTCGGAGTGATAGAAAAACACGAATTTTCGCCAAAATACGCCTGCAGACCTATGTTTAGGCAACCGTTCAACACGTATCCAGTGGCCTATGGGCTAAATCATGATTATTTCCGTAAACTACATTGAGTCAACTCGGAAAACCCGCATAAATTTCCAGATTTAAGTTGATGTTATGCTTTTAGGGAAAATATGCCTCCACCACTCCAAAATCTGTTATCTGCACAGCTGTTTTTATAGAAAATTCAATTTTTTTTTGGACACAACTGAAGAAAATCTCCTTGTAAGAGTCTAGCAAGGCTTGATAACTGCCCTCGATAATATACTTAGCGTGCATACAGTTCGAGAGAAGTGTTTCCTTAAGATTTTTGCGGATGTCCCTTAAACGTCGATTTTTGTAAAAAGTTTTTATTAACTATGAGCGCATCATCTAACTAAAACCAAACCATGGTTAAAATGTGTCCTAAAGCCTCCTTAATAACATACCAAGAGCTCGTTTTACTTAGATGATGCGCTCGGTGTCAAAAAAGCCTCAGAGTGATGGAAAAACACGAATTTTCGCCAAAATACGCCTGCAGACCTATGTTTAGGCAATCGTTCAACACGTATCCAGTGGCCTATGGGCTAAATCATGATTATTTCCGTAAACTACATTGAGTCATTTTGGAAAACCCGCATTAATTTCCAGATTCTAGGAGGGGGCCAAAAAAGGCCCTTATCGATACCCCTCCTTTTATGAATGTCTTTTACTTCCTCCGCTCAGTTATATTAAATTACATTAATAGAACTATTATCAGCTAATCTTTCTAACAACTTTGGGGAAATCTTCCGCCATCTTTGAGATGACTGAGGGCCACTCTATCTCTGCAACACTATACTATTTAGAACTATGATGGCAGCTTGAGCAATTAAAAAAGACTCCCTTTTTTTAATTCTGGGAAGTTTCCCAAGATGACAATTCTTTTATTTTGAAGAAAAAAGGATATACTGTTCCTGACTCTCTGTAGCCGGTCTAGCTCTTTACCATACACTCGGAAAATATTTGGTCCCAAGTTATGAGAGCAAAAAGTAGGAAAGGTCGGAAAACTTGGCAAATTCAAACTGCACACGCGGTTTTCTAGATGTCTAGTTTCTTGTTCCATGTGTAAGCATATAGTTCAGCTGAATTGCTGAATCGCTAGGTATGGCTTCAATTTCTACATTTTTGCTTTCCAGTAATTTTCAACCCAGCTTGGTAAGCATGGAAAAATTGGGAGTTTTTTATATCTAGTAAGCCTATCCATAGGCCATTAGGAGTTACTAGGCAGTGATTAAACCAATATCGAGGTGGTAAACACGATTTTTGTCGACTTTTCGGTGATTTTTATCCAATCTTTTTAATAATTTGGTAAGTGCGCAAAAACTGGATCATCAGTTTTCTGAGACTTTTCATAGTTGAAATAGGAGCTTTAAAAATTATTTGGTAAAAGTCCCGTTTGGTACCATTTAAGAGGCAACAGAAAAGTTAATAAACAAATTATTACCATCGAATTTTCTCTTGCCTCTGAAGTGATACAAAACAATTATCACCATTTTAATCTGCTATGATATGGTCTCTAAAAATTGGAGGCCCAATTTTTCATTCAAGAAAAAAATCTTTTGACCCTGTTAGGCTCTCCTCGGAGCTACGAAAACATCCTTTGATGAAATAATTCTTGCAAAAGAGTCTTCAATTTTAATTCCCAATTTTCACATGCTTGCCAAGTCACTATAAAAAATTGGTAAAAAATGGAAAATAGTGTTATTGTCTGTGCTATTTGTCCGTCGGATGGACAAAAAAATTTAGTCCTTGTTTTTTATGGCCTGTTCTGTCGCACACTTTTTTGACGCAGATTTTTCGCATCGATAACACAAGAAAAATTAATGAACGCCATTATATCAGGTTTGCATCATTCTTGAAATTGGTTAGCGATACGACCAACAAAACAAAGCTCCTCGTCATCATTACTGCACTGATAGCGAAGACACTCACACACGAAGAATTTCGAGACACATAAAAGCATGTGCCAATCATGGCTCATACAAAATGGCACTTACTGCTCTCTTCGCTATCTTGGCAGATTAGATTCCCACTTTTTCCAAAATGAACCTATCTTACGATCAAAGTAAGGTATAATACAATACACTAAGGCAACAGTAAAAAAACAAACTATTAAAACCTTTGGTAAATTGCATTTTTTATGGTACTTTCCATGCGACTTGGGCCGGACTAGAGACCGTTCAAGTATATATTACGTAAGTTTCTCAAGAGGGGAGGGGTGGGAGGTCTAAGTTTGACTCTCACAGTCTTACAAAGGGGGAGGAGAGTCAAGTCAAGTCTTACGTGAGCCTCCCACTTTAGATAAAAATAATAATTTTGAACAGAAAAAAAAGTCAGCCAGTTTTCACACTTTCTCTGTCACTTTCTGGAAAATGGGGGGGGGGGATCAGGGCGGTTACAAAAGGGGGTTGAAAAGTAGTTGCACTGTTGCTTTACGAGGGGTGGAGGTTTAAAAAGTCATCCAAAGAGCCTTAAATATTACTTGAATGGCCGCCAGAACAAATTAAAGAACAGTTAAAGAATAAAGTGAATACCGGCAACAATGGCGCTCCAGAAAAGAGCCTTTATGATGGACATGATTTATTTTGGTCGTAAGTAGTCGAACAGAGCTGAATTAACCATCACTGCCACGATGTGCTATCTAGAATCACCGGTTTACGATTGAAAACATAGGCGGTCGCGCGTCGACCCGCTCCGTTTTTGCCCTTTTGTTCCCTCAATTTTAAAAATAAACCTATATTGTAATGTACCAAATTAACGCTAACGGGTATTTTTCGATCCGAACTTTATATGGCCGTAAATATAGAAAATGCTGATCAAATAATCTCAATTTTTGATTTCTTTCAAATTAAGTTAAGTCACTTTGATTTTCAAAACTATAATTTAATCAAAAAGTAGACTCATTTAGTCCTTTTACGGAGAGAGTTAAGACAACGCAGCTCATGGATGTCACAAACGGGAATAAAGATTACACAAATTGGACGTTTTTTGTAATCTTTGATCAACCCATTCCGGAATTCCCATCTCCCTTCCGTCTCTCCTTCTGTTTGTTCCTTGCCGTACCCCCAATGTCCCGGTCCATTCTGGTTTAGAATCTTTGCAATTGGTAAAACTGTAATCTTTATTCCCATTTGTGACACTGTGAAGGCCTAAAATACGGAAACCAATCAGAAATGGATTCAAATTGTCTTTACTCTCAGTATTAAGGGACTCTACACTCAATGGGTCAGTTGCGCTGGTCACAGAATCGTGTTTTGATGATTGAGTCTTGTAGAGTAGTTAAAAATAATATGATCCGTCCAAACTGCAACTTTCTACCTCCAGTATTAACCAAGATATCGCCCTATGAAAAGTGGGTTATTGACGTCATCCTCCACGGTAGTGACACCCTCAGTTATTTCCTCTTTTGTTCAATCAGCGATGCAGAGGACGCAACGCAAAACTTTAACGACATTAATCATAAACAAACTGAAGAAACAGAAGGATTTGCGCTTCAAGGATCCTCTTATCAGGAGATAATGCACTTGATGCAGAGAAATTAGGCTGTCAGTCAGTTCACCACAGTTTGTTTGTGTCTAATGTTGTTGAAGTTTTGTGTTGTGCCCTTTGTATCACTGACCAAACAAAAGAGGAGGAAACCAAGGGTGTCAATACTGCAGTGAATGACGTCAAAAACCCGACTTTTCAAAGGGCGATATCTCGGTTAATATTGAACGTGGGAGGTTGCGGTTTGGACGGATCTTATTATTTTTAGATAATCTATAAGAATCAATTATCAAAACACGATTCTGTGACCAGTGCAACTGACCCATTACCCACATTTTGAAAAAAAATGTGAGCTCTCTAGGATCATTTCTCGCTCCACAGGGAATTATTGAAAAATTTTCCAATTTTTAACTTATGTGAACCACTGTGTGGTATCCCCTGAGGGGATTGATGGGGACTTATGGCTAGAACCTCCTTTCCATATGAAGAATTGATCGGGCCTTAATCCAGCCATATGTCAACTTTTGGCCATCAAATTGCTTCGTTTACTAGACCATAGATGGTTGATGAAGTTTTGCAGAATACTTAGTCTCAATCCTATCAAAAGAATAACAAAACTTAGCTTCAGGCCAATATCAAACAACGAAAGCCTGATTCTATAAATAAAGAGGTTCGAAACATTAAGAAAAGAACTGACATCTTCGAAGGTGGTCCACTCCTCTTTAGGAAGAATCCTTTGCATCAAAGAGAGCTGTGTGGCACGGATAATTCTGTGATTCCGAGCATTGCGAACATCCTCTGGAATGCGAGTGAGGGCTTTTTCGACAATCGGATCGACGTGCAAAGCATCATCATGGTATAGACCTGAAAAGTTGTGAGCCCGTTGTTAAAATTTTAGGTACGACAAAAATGAGTTATGAAAAGAGAAATTTAGTAATTATGTTTTTAATTCCCTAACCCTGCCGAATAGTCAGGGGGCATACGTATTCCGTGTGCAGGTTCGTGAAGGAATATTGTGTGATACATCAATCTCTCCGTTTTGATGTGCAGAAAAAGAAAATCGATGCTGGCCATCTCAAATTTCATGCAAACCCTCCCCCCCCCATTCAAGATGGCGGCCAAAATGGCGGTTTTGGGGTGAAAAAATTTGAAGTTTCCAAAATAGGCCGTGTCAGGTGTCGATTCCCATGTATTTTGGATCGTAAAATCCGAATTTTTAGACAAAAGTTAGCCTATAGGTCATTTTCAGGCCAAAACCCAAGATGGCGCCCAAAAATACCTCATATACGGGTACAAATTTGCCCCTTCGGATCTACATGCACAGTGATGTATCAATTTCTTGCCTTAACTCGGTTTTCTGTGATTTTAGGCAATAAAATATGGCAACACTGGCTTTTTTGGGAGGGGGGGGGTTTAATCCAAAAATAGTTATGGAAGAAGAATTTGACCAGCTACGTATATTTTCCGCGAAGGAATCCATTTCTGATTTCAGATGAGTCGCCCTCTTTAAGCCATTTAAAATAATAATGAAAAAAACAAAAAAATTCTAAGAAGTACATTTTTGGTATGAGCGCAAGGTTTGCCCTCGACGAAAATTGACCAAAGTGACTATCTCACATCCATAATGAACATACGTGAAGGAACGTTTGCTCTGCCGATGTTCGGATCGTAATGAAACAGCGCGTTGAAAGCCAAAAAAAACCCGCATTTTTCGCTAGAATCGGCCTTCAGACTCATGTTTAGGCCAGCATTAGACCCCCAAATAGACTGTAAATGATCAAATCATGATACATTCCGTAAAATTTAGACTTTTAGTGAGCAAAAAATCGTAAAATTGAAGAATTTCAGGGTATGGGCCCAAAAACGGCTCTCATCGAAACCCCGTTTTGGGCAAATCCCTTAATATCAATTGTCATTTACCGGTCTGCGCCTCTAACTGGCAACCATGTCGGCAGCCATTTTCGATTCGGAGGCTTAATTTTTTAAAGGGTAAACATTTGACCTCTTATTCGAGCTTCTTGACCCAAGAAACATAATTTTGAACATACTGTTTGTTACAGCTGCCCTAAATAGGAGTTTCATCCGTAAGACCGGTGGCCATTTTGGACGCCTTCTTTGATTTTGGGGCTTCATGAGAGCCGCAGCGGAAAATGGACCTCATTTTCGGACTCTACGACCCTGAAAGCGGAATAAATGATACATCACTATGCATGAAGAACCGGAGGACCAAATTTGTACCCGTATGAGGTATTTTAGGGCGGCGTCTTGGATTTTGGCCTGAAAATGACCTTAAGGCTAAATTTTGACTAAAAATTCGGATTTAAGGATCCAAAATACATGGGAATCGACACTTGACACGGCTTATTTGGAAACTTCAAATTTTTTCACCCCAAAATCACCATTTTGGCCGCCATCTTGAATGGGGGGGGGGGAGTTTGCATGAAATTTGAGATGGCCAGCATCGATTTTCTTTTTCTACACATCAAAACGAAGAGATTGATGTACCACACAATATGCCAAATGCCTTCACGAACCTGCACACGGGAATATGTATGCCCCTTGACTTGAATAAGTATTGGTTATCATGCTCTGACAAAAAACATTCACTTGAAAATTCACAGAAAAATCAAACGAAAAATAGTAAAAAATCGAAAATTTAAAACTTTTATTCAAAGTGATGTGCAGCGTGATCCAGTAGTCCTGCACTATCCCTGTGACTTTTTTGCTGATTACACAGCACAACAAATTTCGGGTTTGGTTTGTCCCTCGAACCAAACCAATTTTTTCCAATTACTAGGTGATATAGAAGTCCGAAAATGCCCATAATGACGTCAGGAATATTGGCTGGTGCTCAGGGCGCCGCCATTTTGAATTTTCCAAAATTGAGAAAACCCACGATCAGTTTTTTGGAAATATCTCCTCAACAGTTGGATTGCATTTTGCAAAATGGTACCGCTAGCATTGCAATGTTGCTAAGATTGTGCAACTTCTTTTGTTTCGATTGTGCAACTCGAGGAAAAACCCGATTATCCATGCATAGTTTCTATTTCACTTGCTAAAAACTGTAAATTTTAGACAAAAATTACCATCTAAAGGACCCCGCACACCTCTTATGGGAAGCTGCACCACGACCGATTGCCTTCTGACATATGTTTTTCGATTCTCCTCAAGATGCTGATCAAAAGTTATAATTGCGCCAACTTTCTACGATGCACCGTTTTCGCAAAAAACCTAAGAGAAGATTCAATTATTCGGCAATAAAAAGCCAGAAGATTTCTCATTTCAGTACTCGAGTGAACAAATCAGGGGAACTCCCGCACTGAGCGGCAGTCTTATCTCCGATTCCGCTCGCCGTTTTGCTCGACCATCCAAATCAGTTCAGATAAGAACAGGAAAGTCTGAACGTCTGTCTACCGGCCGAGTGCGGGAGAGAGATAGTCTCTGAGTCGGCAGGTACAGATAAGAAGACGGACACGCACTACGTTTTTTCCTTATTTACATCGGGCCTGTCCTCAAATGCTTTGTTTTTTTTTTATTCATAGTCGCCGAATAATTGAATCTTCTCTTAGGTTTTTTGCGAAAACGGTGCATTGTAGAAAGTTGGCGCAATTATAACTTTTGATCAGCATCTTGAGGAGAATCGAAAAACATAAGTCAGAAGGAAATCGGTCGTGGTGCAGCTTCCCATAAGAGGTGTGCGGGGTCCTTTCATAGTTTTTCACGATTTCCGCAATTTTATTGCAAAAGATGAAATTGCACAATCTTAGCATCATTGCAATGCTAGTGGTTCCTTTGTGCAAAATGCAATCCAGTTAATCTTACGAAAAAAAAAACAAAAATCCAGCAGAAAGAGCACACAATTTCCTACCGAAATCACCCTCTTCTGGTTTTTCTAGCTTAATTTTTTGGTCGTACAGTTAACGTTTTCTTAAAAAATTAGCTTATAAAAGGCCTATTTTTGCTGATTTTAGGAGAAACTTTGCTTCATATCTCCAGCCACGATTATCTGAACAAAAAACTGTTATGTTCATTAAAAGAGCGTAAAAACTTCTAGAAAACGTATGTCAATGGTTCCTAAACTTGATTTAATCCTGAGAAAAAGCAGTTTATTAGCTCCGCCCTTAAGTTGTGATTTTGTCGACCATCTCCTTTAAAATCAAGAAAAGAAGAAAAAAACCTAAAAACGTGGCCCAAACTGTGTAACATATCGCAGGCTACCCAATTGGGGATATCGGGTTCGACGCACCCGCGGAGCTGAGTCACGTGTAGGCTGCCCCCTTCTGGGGCCGCATAAGATCGGGTGCCTCGAGGGCTGAGCGAGACGTAGCTGGTCTGCCCTCCCTGCCCTCGGCTCCAGAGCCCTGCCGTGGGGTTGTCGCAGGGTTTGGCGCAAGCTGGGCCTAGGCTCTCCTCCTACGCTTCGACGCTCCGTGCGACTCCGGGTACAATGATGGCTTCGGCAGATCGATCCCGGGGGATGGGGGTGTAACGGGGCAAATCCCCCTTCTCTGCGAAGCAGGTCCAGGACATCAGAGGCACATACGTCCTCTGGTATAAGATATGCCAACGTTACTCGAGGTGCCGGATAACTTCAGTGGGATGCCTGGATTCGGGCGCCATAGAAAAAATATAATAATGAGTGAAATCGAAATTGAGAGAGAGAAAATTTTAACTGGAAAGGGAATTTAGCAGAGTTCCGTCTGATGCTGCTCAACTCGCGCACCACTACTTCACTACTTGCGTTAAAGGAAAGCGTGTTTTCCAACTTACAAGTATTTATTTATATTGAGATTTATCAATAATTTCCACGTATACATATAATTCATTCTTAAAATTCTACGGATATTCTGATCGAAACTCGAGGGAAAATGGTTCGGAAGGTGAATTAAAATACATCTCTAAGACCAACCAAATCTAAAATCTACTACTTTTCTCAGTAAAACTCGCAGAGAGATGCAGCTCAACTCGCGCACCTCGCTCCGCGCTTTCCACCGAGGAAAGGCCGCTACTCTTGGATCACGTTTGCAGGGGTAATGCACCTCAGCTCGGGCACCACGTCCCACGCAACCGAAACCCCAAGAGGTCCAAAGCTGGAGCAAATCTTCGGTAAAGCTTTATTCACCGTACCGCCTATTTGCTCCAACCGCAGACATAACAAGCCAGGATCGCAAAGTAAGAAGAGAAATGCAGGCTCACCTCGCCGCACCTCGATCGACGTACTAGATAACTCGCTTTAACAGTCTGCTGGATCGGAACGCCCCCCCCGATTGATGGGTCTGGTCGGGAGGCCACCAATTTACAAATTTCAAAAAAAGCAAGTGTTCGAGTTCCGTTCCATTTTGTGAGCATACAATATATAAAAAAAAAATATAAAATTTACATCGTTGGCTTTGCCTCGACTTCTTTTATCGATCTGTAGAGTTAAAATTAAAATACAATTTTTTTTAAAATTTTAAATTAATGAAAAATATTTCAAAATTGACAGAATTGCCGCAGCGCTCCCTATTGGCGCGGTCGCGGTGCTCGGATGGACGCCGAGCGTCAGCTGATTTCTTCCTTGGTTCGTCGGCGCAGACGCGGCGGTGCCAAGCATGCGCGTTCGCGACTTTATTGTTTCAATTTTTTTTAATTCACATGCGCTTAACTTAAAACGGGGGAAAAATTTCCCCGTTACAGATCTCCTCCCCTTCGGAAATCGGGAAAAGAGCTAGAAAATGGATGAAAACACATGAGAAAGCATCTTACTGCTGAATGAAAGCTTAAAAATGCACAATACATAACCATATTTGGGTTTGACAACTAATTTTAGGGCAAACCTAAAAGAATTCAAAAGGGATTTACCTGACTTTTTTCGGGAATTAAAA